AAGAAATTGAAACTACACAAGATGAAAATATTTGAACAAGTTATTATAAAAATTAAAACTTGAGAAACAGGAATCTTCTGATTAAATGTGAAAAGTCAAACGTCATACTGGATTTTTAAAAGTGACTGACAGTACAGGGGTCTCAACCAAATTAGCTTATGAACCCTTGGGTTGAAATTGATAAGTTAAAAGTAAGACATCAAAGAATCATCAATAATAACTGAAAAAATATTTTATCTGAAAGAAATAATTACCAGGGACGAAGCAATTCTAAGGCGTCTGTAAATCTGTTACTTAGAAATAAGTTCAAGGCCACTGCACATTCTTCTAGGCCACTCTTGAGATCCACCTTGGTTGACGAAGAACTAAATATCAAAGAGGAAAAAACGCAGGATTTATACAGCTTTTACTATTAGCAAGTTATCCCAGGGAGAATGTGTGTACTTTGGAGACAAAGAATGGATGAAATTTTAACTCTGCCACCTAATAATTGTGTCTATAACATCCCTAAATCTCAGCTTTTTATCTGTAAAATAGTAATACCACCTACCTCCTGGAGCTGTTACGAAAACGAGATAAACCACCAATAACGCTTGTAGTTGAAACTAATTGAGTCTCCTCTCCCACCACTGCAAAGGCCCCAAGTGTAGGGACTACCTTTGCTGGTGGATGTTCCAATGTCCATAGCAGTACTATGAATGCTTGCTGAATCTAAGAAAGGTTATATTTTACTAGTAATTATGCTTTGGCCAGGCTAACGCCATTATGAATGGTTCACACTCCATTTAAGTGTGTGTATTTTCTGCGTGGTGATATCCACTGTAGCTCAGCCAAATAACTGAGAGCCACCTTGTTGCTGTGTGTCAATGCGCAAATGAGCTAGGAGGCTCTGGAACCCACCTCCATCCCTGCCAATACTGACAGGTTGTGTTGGGGTAACATGTCATCAGTGACTAAGCATCCGTGCTTTTGAACTGTTCTCTGACTGGCTCCACTCTGCGCATATTCACTAGATAGGGCAGCAGCCCCCTGAAGGTCTTCTGGATCTCTGCGAGTGTCACCCCTCTGAGCGGTCAGACAAAAATGTGCTACAGTGGAAACTATGCATTATCTAGATTAGGGGAGATCTCTATAGGTAATCTGATTATGATCCTGTGGGAGATATTTTACAACTCCATGAACTGTAGATAACCGATAGCAATGCAAAAGAATTCTTGTCTATAGATATGTATATTTTGTCCTGGCCAGAAGAGACTTAACTAACCTCCCCTCCCCACCCACTATGCAAGAAGCTGGTTTTCCTGATTTTCACATTCAATTCAAATTCCTTTATTCCACATAAATGTGTTTTGATTTGATTTCTCCTTTGAGCCTGTTATAACATCTGCCAAGTTCCCTGATTAATGATTAAATGATTACTCAATGATAGTTAATGATTAAATAGTCTTTAAGATGTGTTCATTTTTTGTATCTGTATGAGGCTGATTTTATCCCTTTTTTGAAAAATTAGGTTGACATTTATGATTGATAGAAATTTTGTTCTTTAAAATTATGGCTTTTTCTAAAATGCTTTTTGTAACTTTTTTTTTTTTTTGAGAGGTTTTTGCTATAGGACGTGTGCGCTCGCCAGAGAGAGACATAGAGACAGAAAGCAAGAAATCACCCCCCCAGAGAGGATGGTCATGCCACAATCCCTTCTCCTCCATTCTCCTCTCAGGATCTTGGGCACGCACGCACATGCGCCCGGCGTGAGCTTTAAGCCACCGGGTCCAGGATGCAAACCACGGTCAACTACATGGGAGTCCAGTGACATAGCCATTACGCTAACTGCTGGTTCCCTGTAACCATTTTTAATTGGAAACTATTTGGTAAGTAAATTATAAGTAGACTAATTTGGCAAATAGAAGTGCTGTTAGAAATACACCTGAAAAGTATTTAAAGTTGAATTTCCATGCCACCAACCTCTTCAGATTCATTCTTGAAAGCATAAAAGCAAAATCCTACTTCAGTTACTTACTACCAGAATTGCTTCTGAAAGTCTTCCAGGAACCTCTTCTGCCCCAGATCCCCTGATGATTCTTTCCTATTATTCAGGTCTTGGCTAATGCAACATCAACTCAAAAAGGCCTGGCTGGCCCCAACCCATCCTGTCACAGCTTTTTCTACATAAAAGTTATCACCATCCAAAAGCATGACCAGGAGGGCAACGTCAATCTGGCCAGGGCTTCTCTCAAGCATCTCTCAGAGGTTCTTAGTCCTCTCCATTTCCACTGGCTTCACATTAATTGAGACTCACCTGTCACTCCACGTTCTAAAACACTCCAAGAATGGATTCCTGACTACTATTGCTCAGATTCTGGAGTTCTCATACTTCAGCCTACGTCTCACTCACCTGGAGGGCCCCAGACCCAGAGTTTCTGACTCACCAGTCTGTGGTGACACAGCAAGTCCCCAGATGACACTAACTCTATTAAAATTCATGGTGGACACCATCCTCAGACTAAAAGTACTTCCTACTCATATTGCATCTTTATATTAAGACCTTAACATGGCTTCCCACACCTTGGAACATATATGTTGCATTCTCTCCAGAGTAGTCAACGTGCCAGACTTTTGTTATTTGCGAAGTCTTAAAAATGTGTGTGTGTGTGTGGGGGGGTGTCAGCAGGTAGCATGGTGGTTAAGGCACTGGACTCCCACATGGCCCACTGCAGTTTGAGTCCCAGACCTGGTAGCTTGCTCGCTCTCTCTCTCTCTCTCTCATGAGCATACATGTTATATAGCAAATTACTGAGTTGTCAAAAGAGCCATGACGTGCTTTTCTATGCAAAAATGCATCATGACTTTTCTGACAATCCAATAAAAAAAGATAATAATAAATAAAATTAATTCTTAAAAAGAAAGTGTGTGTGTGTGTGTGTGTGTGTGTGTGTGTGAAGAGGCCTATAATGAATCAAGGGAACAGAAGGCAGACATGAGTTTCAGATTGTTAAGTGCCACAGAGAAAGTTTCCACTTTCCTCAAGAGCCCCAGATCCCCTTTGCCTCAAAAACTACAAAAGTTTTCATATTGATTCCACTGAAATTGTGGTCCTAAAAAACCAAATCACAAACTTTCAAGGCCATTTTTGATTATTTATCCAGAACTTTAATTTCTATCCTCTGAGAACTCACAATTTATACTGACTTTGGGAAGATAATTGGTGACCTTTTTCTCCTCTTTCCAATTATTTGAACTCTGTTCATATTACCTTCAAGATGAAAACCCCATTTATTAAAAAAAAAAAAAAAATTAAAGGATTATTTATAGTATTATTATTATTTCAATTGCTATAGGGCATGTGCATTCACCAGAGAGACACTGAGAGAGAAAGTGAGAGAGAAAGCAAGTCACCATGTCTAGGACTTGGACCACAGTTGGCCATGTATGAGTCCAGCACCTTAACTACCATGCCACCTGCTGGCCTCCCTTTATAAAAATTTTTAGATATAAAAGGAACATTTTAAAGAAAAACAAAGAATAAATTCTTATCTCTACTACTTCCCAGTTCTGTAACCTGGAAGAATTCACTTTACCTAACTTTCAGTTTTTTTATCTGTAAGATAGAAGCAGTCAAGCCTGCTGTTACTACTTTACAAGGTGGTTGTAAAAACTCGGTAAGCCAGTGGAGATAAAGGCAAAAGCACCGAGTATACCGACACACTACCACGATTCTCCAGAAATGTCAAATTGCCCAGCCTTACCTGATAAGCACATATACATTCATACTTTGTGATGCGGCAAAGTTTCTCTGCACTTCGCTCATAATCTGATGACCTACTATTACCATATCTGATTCATGAAACCTACTGATGAAAAGTACACAACGGAATTTTATGATTTATGTTAAATAAGTCTACAAAACCAATAATAGAATAATACTGATAAACCAATACAGAATAGTGCTGAGTAGTCTCTAAATGACTCCTTATATTTTTCATTTGCTTCTTTTGCTTATTTGGCAAAATATAAATCATTTAAAATATTAGGTTGTCAGGGAAGTCAAGACATATTTTTCTATGAAAAAATGCATAGTGACTTTCCTGGCAGCCCAATAATTTTATACCTAGTTGAGTAGTTATTAATATTTTAGAACTGTCCAAAAAATTTCAAACATGAACTTATTTTAAATCCATCTCTATTAATGCAGACCCGACAGTAATCAGTTTTTAAAGAAACAATATGTGAGCACTGTACATTGTAAATGTTACAGAAGCTACCTAGAAAACCCTTGAATGAGTTGGAGGTTAATTTGGGGGTTCAGGACACACTATCCCAAAATGTGGCACCTTGGCATCTGAGCAAATCACAGAAGTGAGAAAGTCCCTCAACTTCCCTTTGCCTTTCAAGAGGTGCCTATGCTACACTAGAGAAAACGAACAGCATCTCTGAACCCACGAACACATAAAAGAATCTGAACAAACAAGTCTTGCTAAGTTCCCCCGTTCACTTCCATTAGCTCATACCCCCGTGTCCAATCACACTTCCCCATGACTGCCCACACCTCGTCAGATCTAAGCATAAATAGGTTTGCCTATCTCTTTGGGTCTTCCTTTTCTTATGAAGTTTCCTGTGTCGTGTAAAACATATTAAATAAATCTGTATGCCTTTTCTCTTGTTAATTTTTCTTTTGTTACAGGGTCTCAGAAATTTAGCAATGAAAGCCACAAACCTAATGAGGCTCCGATTTAAACTACAAGAACAGCTGTGAGAGAGGAACTCTTCCTCCCCACTTCCCAGGCTTCCCAGAGTAAGGAGATTTTGCTAGATTAACACCCCTGGACCCTCTGCTATCTCTTCATTCCTTCCGTGGGAGAAAAGGGAGTTATGTAATGGGTGAATTAGGGTGGCGGAGGCAGGGGGCGGGGAGGCAAGAGTGAGCCAACTCCTTTTGATAGGTAAAAAAAAAAAAAGAAGGGAAAAAAGGATATAGAATAGTCTTAATCCCTCTGTGATGCAGTGAGCTAAGTAGGACAAGCTCAATGCTGCCCGCCCCCACAACCACCCTCACAAGGGAAGCCTGCAATTGAAGGCCTATATTCCACTCAGGGGCCTATCAAAAAGTCCACTTCCTCACACTTCTACACTACGTTCCCAGTACAGGCGTGCAGTATTGGTCTGACCCTTTCACCAATATCTCAGTTGGCTCTAACTTAGCCCAAAAAAGAGATAGTTCTTCTAAAGAAAGACTTCATTGGGGATCTGTATTCTCAGAATGGTAGTAGGAAGACAAGAGTTAACTCCAAGACCTTTACTAATGTGTGTGGGAAGGTCCAGGGCTGCTTTCCAAGCAAATTCAAGATCCTATCTATTCACGAGAATTCCAGAACGCCCTGCCTTCAGGACTCGAGGCCAAAGTGTCTCAGCTCTGTTGACTTAGCTGCATGGACTCCAGAGGCTCAGATGCACCCATGACTGGAGAGAGACTCCCATTATCATTTCTTATGAATTTCCTAAAAGAGAGGGAGGGCCCTGTAAGTTCACAATCTACAGAGGGCTCTGATAGATAGTGAGGCTTTTAGGAAAGTCATTGAGCTCTGCAAGTCAATGCTTCCTCATCTATACAAAGAATATGAGGCTAAGATAATATCTACTCAATAGATAACTAACATTGCTGTTAGGAGGATCAGAAAAGATAAAAATACACAGGCCCAGCAGGTGTTGTAGTTGTTGGGGCGCTTGACTCCCACATGACTAAGTTCAAGTCCTGAACCTGTATCTTAAAACATGCTGGGCACGTATGCATGCATGTCCAGAATTGAGAGAGGAGAATGCAGGAGAAGAGATTGTGGCATGGTCTTCCCTCTTGGGGTGTAATTTCTCACTGTCTCTCTGGCAAGCACACATGCCCTGAAGCAAGAGTCTCTCAAAAAAAAGAAAAACACAAATGTCAAAAATGTAACTGAATAACGCACTGAAAGAAATGAAGTAGAGGTTTTTGAAAGATAAATGCCTTGTGTCTAATCATGCGCATAACGTGTTTATCCTTTAGAACCAAACAGGAGACCAGAACTCTGATCCAGAGCCACCCTGTGGTGTCACAGTTCTTACCGTGACACCAGCAAAACTATTCCTAGAAAGAGTGGGGCTGATATTTGTTTTCCTTAAAAACACTTAATTTATAAAGCCAAATATTATACATAAAATTCTTTAAATTACTTGTATCTTAATGCTTTTCTTCCTTATCCTGATTTGTTATTAAGTGCAATTACCAATATACCACACTACTCTTTAGCATGCCTCATCAGTATGGTGACTGCCCAAGTTTGCTTTCCCCAACATGTCTCTAATAAAATTAACTTATTTTGAAATGGCTTCTTGACAAATACTGGTAACTGCCCTAGTTTAGCCTACTAATGAATGCTAGATAGCCAGAAGCAACAAAGCCTGCTCCTTAGGCAAATGCAAATGCAGTAGGAAGAAGCAAGGAGGAGGAATTAACATGTAAGTGCAGTGAGAAGGTACGCTGCACACCCAAACCCTGCCTCAGCTTTCCAGAGCCCAGTGCAGTTTTCCCTCTAAACCCAGGAGGGGCCTTCCCAAGAATGAAGGGTGCTAACAACTGCCTAGGCCTCTCTGCATCTCGCATCGCACCTCTGCACTTTATATCACACCTCGAACCTCATCGCACTGCGCTGGTTTGTCAAACACAAAGCTTTATCAATCATCAGATGACATCCCCTCCCACTCCCCACCCCTGCTAGACTATTAACCCTTGGACACACACACACACACCCCTCCCGCTTCCTGACCTGCTCATGTCAGATGCTCCAAGTTGTCTGGATGCCCGTTTGGTATCACTTGATGCAAAGCGAAGGCTGCCTGTTGCCATACCTGAGCGAGATCTGTTCATTAAAAAGGCAAAGTGAGGTTTTATTTCTTTGTCCTCAGGGAAGAGTCTATGAACAACCGAACAATATGAGCTCTCCAATTACTTTGTACATCTCACCTCCATTTCTTATCAATCTTAAAAATCAAGTAACCAACATGCACTGTTGCGTGTTGAACATTCCTGCAGTACAGCCCCAATAAAATAAGCTGATTTTTTTATTGTAATACACAAAAATTGACGTCACCCCACTACTCTCCACCCAAATAGCATTGTACCTTCCTTGTATTTTGCCTTCCAGATCTTTTCTCAACCCATCTATAGACATTAAAATCTTACTAAAAATAAATATTGTCATTATATTTTATTAAAAATATTATCACTGTATCCTGAACTTTGTATTCTCTACTAAGACAGAGTTCCTTTATCATAGTGACTACACAGTATTCTACTGATTGGATCCGGGACCCAAACCACAGTCAGTCACATGGGAGTCCAGCACCTTAACCACCAAGCCACCTGCCGGTACAGGTATTTTACTTTTAATAAACTGTTAATTTCTCATTATATATGCTAGAGAGCTGAACTGACATAGAGAAGGTGAAAACCTATCTGGTTTACAGAATCTTACTGACCCAGAGAGGATCCCCAGACACACAGGGGGCAGGTCCACTCAGACAAGGAAACTTCCTAAAAGAGATAAAAGTTCTGCCTATATTATAACAGAATCTCCTTTCACCACACCTTAACAGTACACATCCAATAAAGAAGAGATACGTCAGGATCAGCAGATGGCATAAAGGTTACACCAGACTCCCATGAAGTTGACCACAGTTTGAGTCTCAGACTCGGCAGCTTAAAATTCATGCAGGGTACACGTGCATGCGGGCCCAAAGTCCCAAGAGGAGAATGGAGAAGAAGGGATTACGGTGTGGCCATTCCCCAGGGAGGGTGAGTTCTCACTTCCTATATCTCTCTGTCTCTGTCTCCAAAGAGCACATGCACCCTACAGCAAAAACCTCTTCCTCTAAACAAAATTTTTTAAAATCCTCCCTCTACTAAGATTATAAAACATAATTTTTTATTTTAATATTATTTTTTAACATGTAATTTGCTAATTTGAGTATATGGTACAACATAGTGCTGTGTTGTTATTTAATTAATCTTTTTCCATTTATGCAAGAAAATTTTTAAAAGACCACATCTTTTTACCCAGTGATTTAATAAACCATATACAAGTCTTCAAAATGTTCATATAGAAATGTATTATTAAAAACTATGTAGGATCAGCAGGTGGCATGGTGGTTGAGGTGCTAAACTCACACATGGCTTATACATGGTTCGAGTCCTGGATCTGGCAGCTTGCTTTCTCACTCCCCCACCTCCTGTCCCTTTCTGATGAGCACACATGCCCTGTAGCAAAATGTTAAAAAGTAATAATAAAGAAAACTAAATAAATAATTCTTTAAAAAAAGAACTACGTATTGATTTCAAAGTTCTTTGCACCAAAATAAACTCATACTTTAATTCTGCCTTTCCACAAACTTTTGAAAGTTCCCACATATATAAAATACTAAACATAAACCAAAGTCTTGTTGGGGGCCAGCAGGTGGCATGATGGTTGGGGACACTGAACTTCCACGTGGCCAACTACGGTTCAAGTCCTAGACCTGGTGGTGGCTTGCTTTCTCACTTTCTCTAAATAAATAAATAAATAAAGTTAAATAAAACAATTCTTAAAAATGTCTGTTCTATCAAGTAAATATTTCATGTTTCAAAGTATTAAAGTAATTAATTGGGAGGCCAGTAGTCTAAAAAGGTCCCCAGTATCTTGGGTTCCTACATAGGCAAACCAAAATTCAATTCAATGTAAACAATGAAAACAAAACGTAAGCTTAACCAACTAGAAACGGCCAACTAACTTCACTAATCTCTAAGGACTTTCTACTTTAACCTATCAAGTACAGTGTTTTCCTTGTCTTCTTCAAACATTCCATACACATTCCCCCTCTTTCCTCTCTTTCTCCCTAGTGAGCACTAAACTTCTTGCTGTATAATGCTGCCTGATTCAAGAATCACTGAATGCTCAAACTCGTTAAAATGTTAATGTGCCTAAGTTTATCTTTTAACAGAAGCTACAATTACAAAATCTTTACCTGGCATGACAAACCTGAATTTAGTAGAATGCAATAATTATTCACAGGATAATATTAAATATCATTCATCTTTTCTGAGATAATGATAGTCTTCCCTTATCCACAGGAATGTTCTAAGACCCCCAGTGGATGCCTGGAACTTCGGATGGTACTGACCCCTATCTATCATTTGTTTTTTCCTATACATACATACTTAGGATAAAGTTTAATTTATAAATTAGGTATAGAAAGAGATTAACAGCAATAATTAATAATAAAATAGAACAATAACAATAATGCACTACATAATGAAGTTTTAGTCAACATTAAACCACATACACAATGGTGGTCCCATAGGATTGAAACAGAGCTGAAAATTCTCCTGTCACCTAGAAACATCAAGGTTGTTACAACATCTAGCATAAAGCATTAATCACATGACTGTGATGATGCTGCTATAAACACTGCCAGTCATATAAACATATACTACAGGGACTGGCAGATGGAATGGTGGTTAAGGTGCTGGACTAAGGTGGTTAACTGTGCTCACATGGCCGACCACAGTTCGAGTCCCAGAGCTAGTGACTTGCTTTTTCACTTTCCCCCTTTCTCTCTCTCTCTGGTCAAATTTTTAAAATAATAATAAACAAAATAATTCTTATTTTTTTAAAAATGTCTACTACAGGGGCTGGCAGGTGGCATGGAGGTTAAGGCACTAGACTCCCAAGAGTCTGACCATTGTCTGAATCCCAAATCTGACAGCTTGCTTTCTCACTCTCCTCCCTCGCCTGTCTCTCTCTGGTCAAATTTAAATAAATAAATAAATTTAATTAAATAATAAATTAATTATTTGGGGTCAGCAGGTGGCATGGTGGTTAAGGGCACTAGACTCCCACATGGCCAGCCATGGTTCAAGTCCTGGACCTGGTGGCTTGCTTTCTTGCTCTCTCTCTCTTTCTCTCTCTCCGCTCTCTCTCACACACACTCTGTTCCTCTCTAGTCAAATTAAGTAAATAAATAGGGACCAGCAGTTGGCGTAACGGCTATGTTACTGGACTCCCATACAATTGACCACGGTTCTATTCCAGACCCAGTGACTTAAGCTCACACCAGGCGTGTGTGCGTGCATGCCCAAGATCCCAAGAGGAGAATGAAGGAGAAGGGATTGCAGCATGACCATCCCCACTGAGGGGTGATTTCTCACTTCTGTCTCTGTCTCTCTGCCTCTCTGTCGTTCTGGTGAGCGTATATGTCCTATAGCAAAAACCTTTCAAAAAATAAATAAATAAAGTTAAACAAAACAATTCTTTAAAAAAGTACACTACAAACAATCATGTACAGCACATATTTGATAATGATAATAAATGACTATGTTACTGATTTATAGATATCTTATTGTTTTTAACTACTACTTTAGAACATACACTTATTTACAGAAAAAAAAAGTTTACTGTTGTTAAACCAAACTATGCTGGTCTGAGAAGGCCTCTATACCCATATACTTGAGTTCTTATAAATAAACCACAACCTTACTTAGGAGTGCTTCCCTAATAAACTAAGTCACAGCCAATCTCGGCAGCCATGCTTCAGTCACTCCCACCCTTGAAACTGTGCTCATGCAGGCGCACACCACGCTGTAGCCATCAGGCTGCTTCTCCCCCTCATTTCCTTCACTTCTGCTCCCTGGGCTTCATTCCTCTTCCTGCCCATAAATGTAAATTGACCAGGCAGCACCTCGGAATTCCTCAGAACCAGCTCTGGGGCCTGCCTGATTCACAAATTGTTCTTTGCTCTTTTAAACGCTGCTAAATTCTATTTGTCTAAAGTTTTTCCTTTAACAATTTGGCATTCAAAGTGGAATCAGAAGTAGAGGTTCCAGCAACCGCCAGGAGCATAAGTGACCAAGCCAGGTCCCGCTGGACCTCGTGTGTCCATGCTCTCTTGCAGCAGCTGAGGATCTCGGGCAGGTCCTCCTTCGGATTCTGAGCTCCGCAGACTTGTGTTTAGGGTTCTGTAACTTTATTCAAGCAAGTTTGATATGAACTAGGTGGAGAAGTTGGCAAGAGAATCTGGACTGAGTCCACAACTGGACTGCCGGTCATCTGGCTGGGTTAGACAGAAACTTGCAGTAAATAGCTACTACAGTGGTGGGTGCAAAAATCGGATTTTCAACATTCACAAAGGAAGCCACCAAGTGGCATGGTGCTGGACTCCCACATGGCAGATTGCGGTTCAAGTCCTGGACCTGGCAGCTTGCTTTCTCATTCCCTCTCTTTCTCTCTCTCTAGTGAATTAAAAAACAATAATAATAAATAAAATTAAATAAATAAGTCTTTTTTTTTTTAATTTGTAAAGTATTTTGGGTTCTACTATCTTCATTTCTTTTTCTTGTATACACAGTTAGGGAAACAGTATCAGTTAAATTGGGTAAGGGAATCTCAGAACCAAAGTCACAATGAAGCATTTCCTTCTAGGTCTTGTGTCTCACAAAAGACTCAAGACTTAATGTAAAAATGCAGTTCCTAAATTCTAAAGTTCTGAGTGCTCCACCTCCCTAGAAGCTACATATATTTACAAAAGTGGTGAAACCTTACTAATAGAATTTAAAATTACTATGCCATTATACAGAATATCCCATATGAACAATACTACACCTTAAAAAGTACAATTAAAATTGAGGGCTCCTAAATTAGGCTTATGCAGGGATGCCCTCTGATATACAGAAGCTTCTAAAAGATTTCAAAACTTTTTATTGTGTGCCCCCCAAAGAGAAAAGAAAGATGGATAGGAGGTTTAAAACAGACCTTCAGGTCAAGCTGGGTTGTTTCTTTCTCTAATCTGTCCGTTATGAATACAGGCATAGGAAATGCTTTCTTTGTCC